TTTAGGGCTCTTGTACATAGGGTCGCTATGAGTCGCAAATGACTCGATGGCACATTAACAACAACAACAACAACAACGTTACATTACATTACATTACATTACATTACATTACATTACATTACATTACATTACATTACATTACATTACATTACAGCAAACTAAGGAACAAAACAAAATTCCATTGCTACTGAGTGTACAACTGCCCCATAGGTTTCCCAAGGCTGTGATTTTTATGAAAGAACATTGCACACCTTTCTCCAAAAGAGAAGTGGTGAATTGGAGCTACCAACCTTTCCATTAGAAGTCAAGTTCTTAATCACTGAGCCACTAGGACTGATTGACACACCAACTTAATAAAAAAGTAAGAGCACTATGAAGAAAACATAAATTAGATTGTGACTTAAAACAAAGAGTTTTTGAGGTTCTTTTTTCAGAAAGAAATTGAACAAAGGAAAGAGAGGGCAGGAGGGATAGAGAAAAGGGTAGAGGAATGCATGAAAGAGAGAAGGGAAAAAATAAGAGAGAAAACACCCTGCAATTGATTTTTTTACTGACATAAAACACTCTTGAATTTAAAACTGCTTATAAACACATATTTTTCACCAATCTTTTATTTTTTGCTTTCAGGTATCAACTGATAGGTGCGATTAATTACCGTGAATGTGAACCAGAGGGATGGTCCAACCACATTCCTTTATGTGAAGGTAGATGTGAAATTGTCTTATAAACGTATTACAATACCCATACTCTAAAATCTTTTGTCAAATTTCTTATGGTAAACTATCCTCAAAGTTTATGATTAAATTATTAAAATTATTTATACTTTTAATTGACACCTAACTACAACAGTATAGTGCCAAATATAGACATCTCATCTGTCCAGAGCTACATTTATTATATTTCAATGAACGAATATGAACACAGTTCAAACTTACCTAATAGTCACAGTGTTACAGATTAGGAAATCAGAAGATCATTTTAATTTTTGTAAATTATAACACTAAAAATAAATACAAAGATCATTATCAAAGCAAAGATCAGAATTTCAATCTTTCTTAACAGACAAGCACTTCTCGAAGAACCAACTTCTTGAATAGTTTGCTCAGTTTGCAGATTGAATAGATTTGGAAAGGGATGCAGTCTTGGCTCACACCTTTCCTAATTTTAAACCATGAAATATTCTTTTGCTGTGTTTTCATGATGTCTTCTTTGTCTAGGTATAGGTTTCACATTAGTACAATTAAGTGTTCTGGGATTCCCATTCTTCTCAGTGTTAGCTATAATTTTCTTTGATCCACACAGCCAAATGCCTTGACATAGTTAGTAAAACACAGGTAGACATTCTTCTGGTATTCTTTGCTTTCAATCAGGATCCATCTGACATCAGTAATGATATACCTGGTGCCCTGGCCTCTTCTAAATACAGCTTGAACTTCTGGCAATTCTCTATATACTGTCCTACTTGTTTTGGATGCTCTGCAGCAATATTTTGATTGCAATATTAATGATGTTGTTTATTAATTTCCACATTCTGAGAGAGAGTGTGTGTGTGAGAAAGAGAGAGACAAAGAAGAAGGAGGAGAAGGTATACACACACACACACACACACACACACACACACACGTTGTTGTTGTTTTGTGTATTGACTGTAACTCATAATGACACTATGAAAAATAGATTTGAACAGAGCCCTACCCACTGCTGTCCTCACCATCCCTGACACACTTTAGCCTATTGTTACAGTCACTGTGTCTATCTTCTTGAGGGTCTGCCGATCTTGCACTGCCCCTCTACTTTTCCAAGCATGATGACCTTCTTCAAGGACTGGCCCTTCCTAATAACATTTCTAAAATAAGAGACAAAATTTCACCTTGCCTCTAAGATCCAAGCAAAATAATTGACAATTTCAATCTTTTCTCCATCTTTTATGATGTTGTCTACTGGGCCAGTGATGAGGGTCTTTGTTTTCTTGATGTTGAGATGTTGAGATCCCCCCTCTCTCTCTCTCACACACACACACTCATTGAGTTGACTATGACTCAGTGCAACTCTACGAGCAACAGATCCAAACTGTACTATCCAGCTGCTTCCTCGTCATCTCTGCTATACTTGAGTTCCTATTTTACTCACTCTGTCTTGTCAATCTAGCTTGTTGAGAGTCTTCCTTTCTTTCCCTGACCCTCCACCTTTCCCAACATAATGTCTTTTCCCAAGAACTGGTCCCTCCTAACAACATGTAGAAAATGTGTGAGATGAATTTCATCATCCTGGCTTCTAAGGAACACACTAATTGCACTTTTTCAAAGACAAATGTATTTGTTCTTTTGGCAGTCAATGGTCTATTCAGTACTCATCTCCAAGATCACAAGTCAAAGGCATCAATCAATTCTTCTTCTGTTATCTTTATTCACTGTCCAACTTTCAGATGTATAGCAAGTAACTGAAAAAAAAAAACAACTAAGGCTTGGATTAGGTACACCTTAGTCTTTAAACTGACATCATTGATATTTAGTTCTCTACAGAGGTCCTTAAGAGATGATTTTCCTTGTGCAATTTGTCTTTTCTTTCCCTGACTGATGGTGCCAAGGGAGTTGATTTGATCTCCAAACATGATGAAATATTAACAACTTCAGTCTTTTCTCCAGCTGTCATCATGCTGCCTATTAGCACAGTGGTGAGGATCTCCATCTACAGCCTAGGAAACTCTATTGGACAGTTCCACTTTATCTTATAGTGTTGATGTGAGTGGAAATCAATTCAATGCCACAAATTTACATACATATATGCACATCTTTTTCCATAGTAGTTTTCAATTTCTGTTAGAAAATGTTCAATTTCTCTTTTTAGTTGTTAAGTGTTCACCAGTAACAGAACCAGAGAATGGGAGAGTCATTAGTGATGCATTGGAACCTGGCCAAGAATATTCTTTTGGACAAGTGGTACGGTTTGAGTGTGATTCACGCTTCAAGCTAGATGGACCACAAGAAATTCATTGCTCAGCAGATGGTACATGGAGTGGAGAAATGCCAAATTGTGTAGGTAAGAGACATTTCTTTTTTCATTTGAGCTTTTAAAAAAAGTTTTTCCTATAAAACTATGCATTTCAGCACAAATTTCTGTATGAAGAATGTAAATAATACTACTAACTATTGTTCATTTTTTTCAGCCAGTCACTTATGTGGAGTCAGCTAGTTCAGAGGTTGTAAATTGCAAGGGAGGAAATTGCCTATCTTCCCGTCACAGAGCAGCTCGTGGATTTGAGCCACCTGCCTCTAGTTTGACAGCACAATTCCTTACCCACTAGGCCATCAGAACTCCCTAATAACTTTTAATAATAGTTTAAAACACAAATCTTTATTTGTTGTTGTTGTTTTTGTTATTGTGTCCTGTAGAGTAGAAACCCACTCATAGCTGACCCTCTGGAAGGTTTTGAAAGGTAGTTAATTGCATAAGAGGAGATTGCCCAATTTTTTTCCTGTGGAGCAGCTGTTGGCCTCAAATCACATGCCTTTGGGATTGCAATGCAGCTTCTTGCCACTAGACCACCAGAACTGCGAGTTCTGTGTAATTAAAAGTTCCGTGTAAATTGAATTAAACTACACTCTGTGTAATTAAAAAAGAAAATGTATGCAAACTATATTTGTGCATTTGAAAAATTACAGTACACCGTCCATTTAATGAAAACTTAACAAGACGCTGCACTGCAATCCCAGAGGTACGCGGTTCAAATCCATCAGATGCTCTGCTGGAGAAGGAGGGCACAATCTCCTCCTGTACCAGTCAGATCTGATTTGACGGTACGCATAAAAATAATACAATAAAAAAATTAATAAAAAAAAAACAAAACCAAGCAAACAAAAACCTTAAAAACAGAAAAGAAGTGATTTTCAAACCAAATACTATTCTCATTGCCATTGAGTCAGAACTGACTCAGAGCTGGCACTGCTGTGGGGTTATGAGGGGTTATTGTATGGGAGGAGAATGCCATCTTTTTCTAGTAGAGCTTCAGTGGGTTTAAACCACCAAAGAAGTGACGCCTTTGGGTTAGCGGTGCAATTCCTTTTGGATAAGGCCACTGAGGTTTCCTAAAGAATGACAGAAAAAGAAATTTATGAAAAATGTAATAATATAGTAATAATTCATCAAGCATTCCATTCAAAGCAGAATTTTTATTTTATTTGGTTAGGTGATTTACACAATGAAACAAAAATTGTTTTAATATTGTTTTAAATTGTGTTTTAATATGACTATGCTTTAATCATGATTCTTTAATCAATAACTATATTTTGGAAATTACTCTCCTTTTTAGAAATTTCCTGCAGTATTCCAGAAATATTAAATGGACGTGCTGTGTCAACAAAAAAAAGTTATAAGGAGAATGAACGATTACAATATAAGTGTAATCAGGGTTTTGAATATACTGAGAGAGGAGATGCCACATGCACTAAATTTGGATGGAGTCCAAGTCCTTCATGTAAAGGTAATGTTATATTTATTTCTATCTCTTTAGTGAAATTTCTTTCAGGCTATTTAAATTTTAAATAAGCAAATATTTTTCTTCCAAGTAGAATATTAACTTTTATAAGCTTTAATTATTTTAGAATAAAGATTTTATGTCAGAAGATTAAAGTATAGAAGGTTATGTTTATATATTTTATTTTT